TTAAAAATGTGTCAAAATAAAAAAGCAAGTTCTTACTCCCTCTACTATGAATATTCAGCTGATATTTTCTGATTATGTATTCACATCTTAGATAGATGCCCACACACATAAGAGTTTCAGAGCAAGCAAATCAAAGACTTGACATCAATATTCAGTAAAAACTATTTTATTCTTGTTGTCAATATGGATCTACAGGAACTTCATGAAGCACAGTTATAAAAAAAAATCCATGTACAATTCACAAGAGCAAATCACAAATATAGCATATGGTTATTATAAACATCTTTTGTACAAAAGCAAATTCAGTGTGTTGCAGGAAAAAGCTTCAAATAGTATAAAACCTCTTCTACGCAGTTAATAGTTTTTCCCACAGTAACAATTTTACAAGCAATCTTCATCATGACTCTAATGCAAACTCATGCTGACACACCAGCATGAAAGAACATTATCTCAAAATCTACTCCTGTGCTGCAGCAAACAGGCCCGAGATGAAAAAATGTCCAGAGCAAAACAAATTCCAAAACTACAAGCCAGCCAAAATTTACAACCCAGCGGAAAAGTTCCTTGCATCCCAGAGTCCATGTTACATATATTACATATAATTAATTGCAGTAGAAATAACAATGTGAGATTTTAACTGCCCCAAGGGAATATTCACATATTAAGTTCATGTTGTTCAACAGTATTAATCAGCACTTTACCTTAAAATAATAAATCACAGGAAAGCAAGAACGTGTGATAAATCATCAGAGACGATATATCTAACCCTAAAATATAGGCTAATGGTATATGTGTACTAAAAACATAAGTCTTTATCCTATAGCCAGTGTTAACAGAACTTTGAAAAATTGACGTATATTACATTTTTCATGTTGACCGCTGTTTATCCATTACATCCGATGAATCAGTTTAACTACTTTTTATCAGGGATTCTAAGGTGATATTGTGTCTCAAGGGACGCTGCAGTAACTACTGCTGTCTCTGAATGTGAAAACTCAAGACACCGTCCTAGACTTTTAAAGAGGCTATACAGAGATTTTGCGAGTGTTTTCTGCAGTTAGATGAAAAACACTACGCCTGGCGTGCGTTTGGACCAGAATGTACGCGTGTAGTACATTAGAGATGCGGGGGGAAAAGTGAGAAGCATGTTCGCTTGGAAGAGGAAGAGAACATGCCAAAGAAACACAGACATGTCGTCTCCTCCTTATGCTTTCTGACAGATGCTTCTCAAAAACACAGCCTCTTCTCAAAAACACAGCCTCACCAGATGGCAGAATAAACGACAATAGATGTCCATTTAGCCATCAATAAAAATAACTAACTTAAAAAAGACGAGTGAAACTTTTTATTAGAGAATGTCAGAATATGCAGAACTTTTTTTACGTTTTTGCAGCATTGTCTGGACAAGGTATTAAAAAATACTAAAATGAATTCATAAATTAATGTGCGTTACCTACAGGCTACTAAACGGAAGCCTGAGGTTAACCTGTGAATAGAGCTGACATTTTGCAGGTTAATTTCAATTTACATTCAAGTGACCAGTTTATAGAGGTTTCGACACTTTTAAAGAACAGTTACTCAGCCTTTGCGCAGAACGTAACGTAATAACAGTTTAACACATGAAAAATAAATAAGGCGTTACGCAATAATAACAGCATATTCGTGGGCCTAAACAACAAGTGTTTTGTACGAACTGCTGTTTTTGTGTGCTGCTGTCTTCAGCGGATACTTAAACAGCAGAGAATGTGACCCCTCAGATAATACGTACAGAACGCGCGGCTTCACAAAATGGTTTAGCAATGCGGAGTTGTGCGTAAGAACGAGATTAATTCGTCAGTCAATTATGCCTGTCACTGGCATCTTTAACAAGACTAAGCGCACCGGCGCTGTGAGGTTCTACTTTCATCTCAGCTGCCTCCTGACACAATTCCGAAACGAAGTGGCTTTTAACAGCGCCTTAACAAGTCAAATACATATTCATCAATACTCCTCTCAAGCGCCATTAAATACATCGATTTCTAAACACATTTATCGACATGTTATTTGCCAGATAACCGTTACTAAGGGCAGCTCGTCAGTTGCCTACTACCGGTTATATACACATGTGACAGACAAACCACGACGGGAACAAAGCAGGTAGAATCAAATAAATGTTCTAATAAATTAACGACATTCCGGATATGAAATAAAGCCCGTATTCAAGCACAATCTCTTCATGTATATATATAGCCTATATATATGTATATAATCCCGGTCAAACAAACCCATATGCACACTGGCCAGCAGGTCCACGGCACTGAATATATAACATTAGGAAAAAGATTTCACAGAAAAAAAAAAGAAAAAAAAAACGATAAATAAACAAATTGTGTCCGTGTGAATAAGCGCTCCAGGTATGTTCTGTATAGACTAGGTTATGGCCGTGGGTTTAAAACAGGGAAAGGCAACGAATGGACACTTTGCTTATGTCACGGAATAGCAAATTAGTTCTGAGTATTTTGAGGCTGGGCTAAAGAGTTCTAATAAATTAACGACATTCCGGATATGAAATAAAGCCCGTATTCAAGCACAATCTCTTCATGTATATATATAGCCTATATATATGTATATAATCCCGGTCAAACAAACCCATATGCACACTGGCCAGCAGGTCCACGGCACTGAATATATAACATTAGGAAAAAGATTTCACAGAAAAAAAAAAGAAAAAAAAAACGATAAATAAACAAATTGTGTCCGTGTGAATAAGCGCTCCAGGTATGTTCTGTATAGACTAGGTTATGGCCGTGGGTTTAAAACAGGGAAAGGCAACGAATGGACACTTTGCTTATGTCACGGAATAGCAAATTAGTTCTGAGTATTTTGAGGCTGGGCTAAAGAGACAACGTACGTAAGCCACTTTCTCTGGCCACGTGACCGTCTCGGTCTGGACGCGTCCATGTGAAAGGAGGAATCAAACACTGAATTCAACTGTTTTTCTTGATCATAACGCTAATTTGAAGCTTTAACTTACATCTTAAACATCGAATTCAAAACCACAGTAGTTCATTATTAAAGTACAAAAGTGTGAAATTAAAATGTTGACAATAAGTGAAGAAACGCAAAGTTAAGGCAAAATATAACACTCCCCTGTCCTCTAAAAATGGTATGGTCGCCAGCTCAAATTCCGAGAATTGAGCTCTTCTGATTCTTAGAACTGGGGTTCTTAGAAGTGGTGATGCAAGAAGTTTCTAGGAAAGCACTACCAGGTGATTTTTTTTACCTTCTTTTCCTCTGGCGCGCTGTTGCCATTACTCACACGTTCATTAAGACGGTTTTATTGGATGTTATGGTTAAATGTTTATCTCGGCTGATTTTTAGGTGTTTTTGCGGACAGTTTTTAGAGCAGAGTGTTTATGTAGTGGGTCTGTCTAGTGAAAATACTTTTGACAGTTTAGGTCGTCCTGCATGAACCACACTGCTCTGTCAGTCCTCACTGCGGGATCGTGGGGTTGTAAACAGTATGTGCAGGCAGCAGAGGGGTGAAAATTTAGACGCGGTGCGCGTTTTTCCCCCCAGAACAAGACCGCTTTCAAAGTTGACTAAATAGCACATGGGGGATAGGATTATAAACCAGGGGTTGTGCAGTGTATGCTCAAATACAAAGACAGAAGCGTTAACCGAGGCATTCACAGATTTCACTCTTTTTCTCTCAATGCATATTTTAAAACCCGGAGTTCGCTCAGAAACCGGAGTTTGCACTCTCGCTCGCTCTTTCTCTTGACGTTTTGGTTTTGTTGTCCTGTGCCAGAAGCCGTGTACATTGTGTTTTCAGTGTGTATGCATGTATAAAATCACATCCTGTCCTTAGAGATGGTTTCTGATTTGGTTGTACAGTTGTTGAGCGTGTTTGCCATGTGTTGTTTTATATAACGTTATATATTTTTTTTCTGTAACGCATCAGAGACCCATTAATGTCATCATTGATATTGTCATTATTATTATTATTATCATTATTATTATTTATTTTGTCAGTGCATTGAGTGTTACATTTGATGGTATTTCAGCAAAATCTGCCAGTGTTTGGCAGTAGAGATGCAACAGAAAAGTTTGTATAGTTCTACGGTTGCTGTCAATTGTAACGGCATGAGCGCAGCAGACCTGCACAAGTTTCTCTGTAGTCATGCGCTTTCTTTTTAAATGTATGTTTTTTTTGTTTGTTTTTTTTCCATTTTAAAATAAGTTTTAATGCTCTCGTCAGAAGCGCACCATATTCGAAAGATGTGTATGCGTATGGTTAAACAGACATAAAAGAAGAAGAAAAAAAAAGTGCTGCTTGGCATTGAGCGAGTGGCTCATAAATCTCCGTCCGCTGTTTGCGTGTTGTGGATCGGGCTCTATTCTTGGAGTGAGCACATTTAATGGCGTTCAGTTACATAGGGTAAAAGTGTTAAATACGATTTAACGCTTAATAAGATGGAAACTGAGAGCAAGAATGCGAGACAAATAAGAGCTCAACAGAGAGCGCGTGTGCTCTGCCATATCACACTTTTCTGTGTTCGTGAAGTTCACGTTGTTTATACGGTCATAGTGAGTTAAGATGCTAAACGCCGGGGAAATTACATGACTTGATATGCGAGTTGCAGGTGTTGTCGGTGTCGTTTAGTGTTGCTGAACGTCAAAACGGTCTCTGGGTGACATCTCGTGGACGCAAAACTTCAGATTTCTTAAAGAACTGCCGAAATAAAACTAGTTGTTCAGAACATGAAGTCAGAGTGGGTAGAAAAGTTATTCGGGTCAGTAGAAAACATTTTCAGAAAGGGATCTAAAGAGCTGGTGTATTCAGGTGTTATGGTGGTTTCTCTTACTCTGTCTGTCTGTCTGTCTGTGTCTCTGTGTGATTTTTTTTATTTGTTTGTCCAGTGGTTAAAATCCCGATCCCTTTCCAGGTCATTTGCGCGTTTGCCTCCTCACACAAGAGCATTAAAAGAGTCATGGGCTGATTAAGCTGTGTTGGCACTATGACAGCCGGGGATATTAACGTTATGTAGGCTCAAATGGAAACAGAATCTGCAATACTGCATGTTCAACATGTGAGAAATGTTCGCCTAACTATTTAAAGGCGTCCAGTGAAACTATATTTGTGTCAAGGCGCCAGATGTGACTGGGAAAACCATCTGAGGCGAATCATTCAGTAGACTATCTGAACTTAGGAAAGCAGAAAATCTGTTTTCACAAAATGAATCTATTAAAAAAAATAAACGCTTATATGTATTAACAATTCTTGGGTTGTGTTTGTTGACTATTCCACTTTGTCTGTTATTACACTCATTCCTCAATCGTGAAGTGTATCGGTCCACAGTACTGCAATAAACAGCCTAACGACATTTTCCCCATGACTCATTCTAGTTTATTCTCCACACATAAAGACTTTAAAATCGCAGGGAAAGAAGTAATTTTCTTCAGATGGCAAGAACTGTGTAAATGCACATTTCAGTGAACTTGGTACATATTAAGATAAATATACCTTTTTCTGTGACTAACCTCGCCAAGAGCCCAAAAGTTCATTATAACTGTGAACTTGAAGGATAATGCTGTCAGATAAAAGATTATTAGGTAGCAAAATGATTCTCAGACCTGACAGAACTACACGTGGATGTACTTCAGTTCTCTAACTACATATTTGCATCGTTTGTCGCCACCTACCGGAGAGAGAGGGACATATATCGTGATATTAATTTTGGCCATATCATCCAGCCCTAGCAGAAAGCAGATGTTTTTAATTTGCTCCATTTTTCCATGCAGTGATTCCTCCATCAAACTTCCCAGAGAGGACTTTCTGGTTAGTCCCCTGCTTTTACCTCGAGACGTTCACAGTTACAGACCCCATGAGGTGCTGGAAAACGTTCCTGGACGGTCAGCGACTTTCAGAGATGGGAGACCCTATGGTGTCTGCATGTTTAACGGGGTCAACGCTCCTAACAGCTCGTACCTTTACAGCCAGTTTCCAATGCAAGGTTTTCCCTTTCCTCTTTGCAAGCTGACAGACACCAAAAACACTTTCTCAGACTTCTCAAAGGGAGGCATCATCCATCACAAAAACTGCTCGCCGGCTGATGGCAACAACCCCATCTTGGCCGACTTCACCCGCAGCACCACCGGCGGGAGCTCAACCGCTTGCCATGCCGGCTCATACTCCTCGAGAGAGCTGGGAAGTGATGAGGAAATGAAGCGGGAGACCTTGGAGGGTGTGGTCCATTCAATTGGGATGAGCTCCAGAAAGCACAGCTTCACCAGCCTGGCCCAGGAGCAGCAGAGGGAGACTGGGAAAGAGCAAAGTTCCCTGGCAGAGGAACATTTGAGCCACCAACACTACTCCATGGGCATATCCTCTAATGGACGCAAAACCTTGATGAGCAGCCCTCAGAGCCCCCTCAAATCAGACTGCCAGCCTAATTCCCCAACGGAATCGAGCAGCAGCAAAAATGCTGCCCTCACGCAGGCCTCGCAACCTCCAACCTCTCAAGGTACTCAAGACCCTAAAGCTCGTAACTGGAAGAAATACAAATTCATTGTTCTCAATCAGAGCTCCAAGGAGGAGGAGACCAGTCCTCGTGACCCTGGAATGCACTCCCCGCAGAGGCCGGGCTTGTCTGCTTTTCTTCACCATGTCGATTCTGAACATCCCGACTCGAAGGCGACAACAAAGATCAGCGAGCAAGGCGAGGACTTCACTGTGCCTCAGGCCAGTCGCCTCAACAACATCATCAACAGGTGAGTTTTTCCAAAGGAAATCTGACTCTCTTAAACAGCCAAAAAGGTGTCATCCTCGGTGTACAGAAACCGATTAGAAGATCTTGTTTCCCAATGCAATAAAGTTCAGAACTGCAGGTTTGTGAGTATTTTGTGGAACGGTTCTCCACCCACCACCTCCACAAAGCCAGATTGAATTTTTCTTCATCCATTCCAATCCTCTTAAAGCACACAGAGGATTTACCTCTTAGCAGAAATGTGTGAAATTCATTCAATATCCTATAAAAATTAGAGTGAATTCCTCTGCAGACCTAAAATGTGCTGTTTTCCTCAGCAGAACTCTAGAGGGATCACAGAGGAACAGCGACAGCCACTCTTCGCGCTACACGAGCCATTTAAAATGCTCGTCCTGTGGCTCCCAGTCTCCACAGCACTCTGACGTCTGTCCCAACACATCCGCCTCGCGTCTGGCCGAGGAAATGTCTGAGATGCACTCGGAGTACTCCGATTCCAGCTGTGGTGAGATACACTTCTAAATAGTTTCCTAAAAACCTGTTTGCGTCTTCCAAACCAACCTAAAACCATTTCTCCTTTGCCTCACAGAAAATGGAACATATTTTTGTAATGAATGCGACTCCAAGTTTGCAGAGGAGGAAGCCTGGAAACGCCACACGCTTCAGGTCCACAGCGACAAGCCATACAAATGTGACCGTTGCCAAGCAGCATTCCGCTACAAGGGAAACCTTGCCAGTCACAAAACAGTTCACACCGGTAAAAAATAAACAGCCGCTGCTACAAATGTCATTTTGGCTGCAAACTTGCAATGTTTTGCTTAACCTCCTTTCATTTATGCTGCAGGAGAGAAACCATATAGATGCAATATCTGCGGAGCTCAGTTCAACAGACCAGCTAACCTCAAAACCCACACACGAATTCACTCAGGAGAAAAGCCATACAAGTGTGAGACCTGCGGCGCTAGATTTGTGCAGGTCAGTGCGTTGAGTTACAGTCAATTGTGCAGCTATAGAAAAAGATATTTGGAAGACCAACATGATCTCTTTGCACAGGTTGCTCACCTTCGGGCTCACGTCCTGATTCATACCGGAGAGAAGCCATATCCATGCGAGATCTGTGGCACTCGTTTCCGCCATTTGCAGACACTGAAAAGTCACCTGCGAATACACACGGGAGAAAAGCCCTATCATGTAAGCATATATAGAGCGATAGCAACTATATCTATAAAGTGCAAAAGCGTTCATCTTCACCCTAACTTAACACTGTTCTCGCATTTGCTTTTCAGTGTGAGAAATGCAACTTGCATTTTCGCCACAAGAGTCAGCTGCGGTTACACCTGCGGCAGAAGCACGGCGCAATCACCAACACTAAGATCCAATATCGCATGTCCTCAACAGACCTGCCGACCGACTTGACGAAGGCATGCTGAGCAGGCACTTAGTGGCGGACCTGACCATGGCATTATATGACCTGACTTGTACAATCATTCAAAATTTTAGTGCCACACTGTGTTATTCGGACAAAAAAACAAAAACAAACAAAACTGGCAAGAAATGCCAGTCTAAACGGATTTCCTCTACATTTGAATATAGAACCACAATATGGTCTCTTGTAGTCACTTTATTGTTTATATTTACACACATATATATATACGGGAGAAAAGCCCTATCATGTAAGCACATACAGAGTGATAGCATAACTGTATCTGTAAAGTGCAAAAGTGTTCATTCTCACCCTAAACGCTGTTCTCACATTTGCTTTTCAGTGTGAGAAATGCAACTTGCATTTTCGCCACAAGAGTCAGCTGCGGTTACACCTGCGGCAGAAGCACGGCGCAATCACCAATACCAAGATCCAGTATCGCATGTCCTCAACAGACCTAACGACCGACTTAACGAAGGCATGCTGAGAAGGCACTTAGGGGCAGACCTGACCATGGCATTATATGACCTGACTTGTACAATCATTCAAAATTTTAGTGCCACACTGTGTTAATCGGACAAGAAAGAAAAAAAAAACTGGCAAGAAAATGCCAGTCTAAACGGGTTTCCTCTACATTTGAACATAGAACCACAATATGGTCTCTTGTAGTCACTTTATTGTTTATATTTACATATATATATATATTAATGTTGGGAGTGTTTTTACATTTTGAGTTACTAAAAAAAGCTTTATTTTGTTGGAAGAAGGATGGAATGTAAAACATTTAAATCCGGTTTTTGAAAATACAGTATTTTCTAACAAAGAAAAACAAAACTTTTCTGAAGGTATTGGGGATTTTGATTGAGGTTGGAATATTTTAAGTCAAAACATTTCTCGCAAAGCAAAGAATTGTGTCTCTATAGATTTTTATATATAAATGTACAGGTTACACTATGTTGGAACGACCTCTTGGAAGAGGAACTCCTAACTGTGACTATAGCATTGAATATCTTTCTTGGTTTTTGTCGTGTACTTTTGGGAACAATGGCTGACTGCTCTCTCAAATGGAAAACATGCATGAGGTGGGGTGCCACTGATAAACTTTCACTATGTAGGCAACTGCATAAATATTGTGACAAAGTGTAATTACTTTACATCAAGATTGCTCTCTGCTGGCAGAGCCGATCTAGAATTACATGGTAACATATGCATTCAAAAGTAATAATGATAATAATAAAAGAAAAGGTACTGCTATGTTATGACCAAGGAGATATTTTGCTTCAGATTTATTTACATCTTATATTCTTTTGGCAAGTGAAGGTTTACAGTTTTGTTGTTGTTCTAGAAACTACGTTAAAAGGTTATACTATTGTCTTTCGTTTCTTTTCGTCTGTGTATACACTGTGTACTCAAGGTGCCTTTCTCAATGGTGTCTGAATTTCTTTTCATTCAGTCCAGCTCTACTAAGGTACAACTGAAGGGCGACGTGTCCTTTTTTCCCTTTTTGAGCGTGAAAACGTGTGAGAATGTTTTTGTGACAGAAGAACGGCGCGAGTGTGTGCGCATGTGTGCTTTATAAATGCTTTTCACACACTTCAAGAAAAAAATGCAACTCATTGCGTGAGCTATACATCTTCAGGACTTGTTTTGGGATTGGGCTTTTTTAAAATAATTTTAAAAAAACGCATTAAGCTTACTGTAAAATATAGATGTATGAATGTAAAATAATTAAAAAAAAAACGCATTAAGCTTACTGTAAAATATAGATGAATGTAAAATAAAAGTATTGGATTTCTATGTCTAACATTTGTGTAAAGCCTCTTTATTCTAAACTAAGCAAAAAAAGAAACATCCTCTCGCACTGAACTGCTTTATTTCCAGCAAATTTCTTGTGTAAATGTTTTTAAACAACTGACGCAAACGGAACATATTTCACAGGCATTTGATGAACAGAAATGGAATAATGCATTCCTGAACAAAGGTCGCAGTAAGTATGTTGTGTGGCCACCAGCCTCTTTAAGTATTACAGTGCATCTCATCCTCATGGACCGAACCAGATTTGCCAGTTCTTGCTGTGAGATGTTTCCTCACTCTTCCACCAACACAAGTTCTGGGACATGTGTGGGGAGACACATGGTTACACCTGGTTTGGCACTGCAAGGACGATCGACTGTCCTTTCTTATCTCCCTGCAGCACTGTCTTAGGCATCTTCCATTATGGACATTGTTCTGGCCACATCTGCAGTAGACAAGACTATGGCATGTTTACGCAGGTGAACACATTAAGCTTAGCGTTATGGGAAGGCTTGCATGTTACAACAATAGCAGAATTGTTAGAGAGTCAAGATAAAAAGCAGGGAACCAAAACACCACAAGCTTGGGGTAGTGAAAAGCAATGCTGGAAGCTCCATACATTTGTTGTATCAATTCCTTAAACAGGACTAGAGTAAACTGAAGAATTAATGAACCACAGTAGGAGTTTAGAACTGCAGAACAGTTCAGCTATAGAGTTTTCATTAAGATGTGCTTTATTTTATACAGGTACTACTAATTCAATCAACAGGTAACAAACCGCACCATCTAAAACACAACCAGATTTATACCACTTCAACATGCTGATATATAAACCATTGGCCAAAATTATATTGACTGCACAACTAATGCTCAGACCTATGGTGCGCACATTATAGTACTATACTGTACACCAGATTTGCCAGTTCTTGCTGTGAGATGTTTCCTCACTCTTCCACCAACACAAGTTCTGGGACATGTGTGGGGAGACACATGGTTACACCTGGTTTGGCACTGCAAGGACGATCGACTGTCCTTTCTTATCTCCCTGCAGCACTGTCTTAGGCATCTTCCATTATGGACATTGTTCTGGCCACATCTGCAGTAGACAAGACTATGGCATGTTTACGCAGGTGAACACATTAAGCTTAGCGTTATGGGAAGGCTTGCATGTTACAACAATAGCAGAATTGTTAGAGAGTCAAGATAAAAAGCAGGGAACCAAAACACCACAAGCTTGGGGTAGTGAAAAGCAATGCTGGAAGCTCCATACATTTGTTGTATCAATTCCTTAAACAGGACTAGAGTAAACTGAAGAATTAATGAACCACAGTAGGAGTTTAGAACTGCAGAACAGTTCAGCTATAGAGTTTTCATTAAGATGTGCTTTATTTTATACAGGTACTACCAATTCAATCAACAGGTAACAAACCGCACCATCTAAAATACAACCAGATTTATACCACTTCAACATGCTGATATATAAACCATTGGCCAAAATGATATTGACTGCACAACTAATGCTCAGACCAATGGTGCGCACATTATAGTACTATACTGTACATACTCTAGTATTATACAGACTGAAGACTTCATCCGTCTAAAACTTTAATCAGTACAACAAGGCCATATATAGTGCAAGTCTGCAACATAGAAGCCATTCTTGGGGGGGGGGGTCAGAAAACTGCATTACAAACCATAAACGTATCAGATCCTGTTGTGTTACTCTGGAACAGGCCCAAAATTCTTTTGCTTCCTTCAAAACCAATATAACACAAAAATTCAACAATATAGCTCAGAATGCAACAGACATACATTTTTTTTTTCTACTGTGGAGGGGAATTTCCATTGACTTCTATTGGTTTTATTCTGAGCCAGCATTGTCTATCTGCTAAACCAAACCTCTCCGCATTTTCAAACTTTGTGAAAGTTTTCTATGTGGGGACAGTAGTGTGCTCCTGACAATACAGGCAAAACCTGATTCACTCACACACACACACACACACACACACACACACACATTTACTTAGCTATATAAAATGGTCCATTCAATAAACTTCTATTGTTCTCATATATACTGGCTATAACCTAATCCTAACTGAAACTGTCTACATTGTTTCAATTTTATTTTTTACAAATGAGGACACCCCCAAATGTTTGTTTTTTCTTCTTCAGTTCAGGTCACATCTAGGTATACATTTGTCCCTAAAATATGCTGTACACAAACAGCCGTTTGTTTCACTATGTTAGTCAGGGCTTTTAAACTACTAAATGCTGACTCACTAGTTGGTGTTCAACAGTTTCACTTTTTCAGAAAGGATCATTTTGAATGGTGAGGACCTCACAATAGTCAAACTTATACACGTTTACACACAGAAGGGAGGCAATGCAAGTAAATATATACACACTTTATTTACAAGTTACTATTAGCTGATGAAGTTATTAAAAACCACACTTTCACCCACAATGTTTATTCACAGGTGAAAGCACAACCATGTAGGCATTAACACAAAAGCTCAGGCTGCTTCTTCAATCTCAAAATCATAAACAAGAGTATCGTTGAGGTCCTCAGGGCCAAGTATCCAATGATTGTTCCTCTTAGTAGAAATCTAAAAGCAAGAGAAAAACATGGATCACTGAAGAAAAACAAGTAGCAAAGCCATTTAGAAAACACTACCTTTTCTTCTAACAGCTCGTTGAGTAAGGAGTTTAGAGCAGAACCCTTAGCAATGCGATCATCCATCTAAATGACAAGGCAATAGGCCATCAAGACAAGCTACCTAAAGCTCACATTTCGCCAATCATTAAATAATTGACAAACTTCCTAAGGTCCATCTCTAAACTTACTTTGCTGTGGTGCAGCTCAGAGCAACAATCCTCCATGTCAAAGCTCTCATTCATGCATTTCTCCTGAAAACAGACTAGAACCATTGGAACCTGTCTGGTGTTCTTGCAGGGCCGTCCTTAGGGGTGCAACTGGTGCAGCCGCACGGAGCCCCGCGCTTGAGGGGTCCCCGTGGCAAACGGACCGAGAGGGGCCCCGCACCCTACCTCGCACCGGGCCCCGCATCAGCTAAGGACGGCCCTGTTTCAGTGTATATGAATCAATACACCCAATTCATGATTTAAGTAAAGACATCCACAGTGATTTTCAGATGCCACAGGGTAGTAATTGAAACAAGCTTTTGTGATAAACACGAGCAGACAAACAAAACCGAGAAAACTGATCGTAATAAAATATACTCTGCTGTTCCAAAACGTAGTTTT